ACTTTCCTCATATAGAAATTTTTCCGACATAGAAACTTTCCTCATTTAGAAAATTACCCAAATTAGAAACTTTCCAAATTTAGAAACTTTCCTAAGACAGAATGGTTTCCACATAGAAACCCAAGGTCAAGGGAACAAAGAATCCCTCCTAGTCACTAAAACCGTAGACGGCCATAAACAAATCCTCGAAACCATACCCGCGCTCTCTACTGGACTTTACCATGCTAAAGTCAGTATGATTGAAGCTAATACCACTCTCAAAGCCCGGTTTACTGATTATACTATTTGGCACGACCGGCTCGGTCATCCCGGTGCAAATATGATGCGTAAACTAATTCAAAACTCTCAAGGGCATACCCTCAAAGAAAACCGAGCTTATCCTCAACACCTCATGTGCACAGCTTGTTCTCAAGGCAAATTGATCACTCGGCCTTCACCAGTTAAAATCTCTAAACAAACACTTCATTTCCTAGAAAGAATCCAGGGCGATATCTGTGGACCTATACATCCATCTTCCGGACCATTCCGGTACTTCATGGTCCTTATAGACGCATCGACCCGTTGGTCATATGTTTGTCTCTTGTCCTCTCGGAACCAAACCTTCGCTAGGTTCTTGGCCCAAATCATAAAATTGCGGGCCCATTTCCCCGACTTCCCACTAAAGACTATCCGCCTTGACAATGCTGGTGAATTTACCTCACAAGCGTTTAATGACTACTGTATGGCCATAGGGGTAACCGTGGAACATCCTGTAGCACATGTCCATACTCAAAATGGATTGGCTGAATCATTCATTAAACGCATTCAATGGATAGCCCGACCATTACTCATGAGATCAAAGCTCCCGGCCTCAGCATGGGGACATGCAGTATTACATGCTGCTGAACTCATACGCATCCGGCCATCTAGTGAACACAAATATTCCCCATCCCAACTACTCTCGGGTCATGAGCCAGACATCTCCCATCTCAAAACATTTGGGTGTTCAGTATATGTACCCATTGCTCCACCACATCGAACCAAAATGGGACCTCAAAGAAGGATGGGAATATATGTTGGTTTTGACTCTCCCACCATCATAAGATATCTCGAGCCAACCACTGGAGATCTCTTCAAGGCCAGATATGCGGATTGCCAATTCGATGAATCGGTATATCCCTCTTTAGGTGGTGAGACAAACAAGCTAGTCAAAGATCTTTCATGGAATCAAACATCATTAAATTGGCAAGATCCTCGGACTCTAGAATGTGATTCAGAGATCCAAAAGATTATTCATTATCAAAAGCTAGCTAATCAATTGCCAGATTCCTTTGCTGACCCGACCAAAGTAACCAAATCGTACATCCCAGCTTGTAATGCACCAGTACGAATAGCTGTCCCAACGGGACAGACCCAAGTTGCTACAGAGTCTGCACCACGTCTCAAACGGGGCAGACCTCTCGGTTCCAAAGATAAGAATCCCCGGAAATCAAAGAAAGGTGCAATAACCGAAACCGGGATTCCTGCAATATCAGACATAGCCGCGGCTGAGACTCAATCTAATGAACCCTCAATGGAAGTTCGGGACGCCGAATCTCCAGGTTCAGAAGATAACAATGAGATCTCCATCAATTACAATATGTCCGGAATACAATGGAATCAAAAAGAAGTCGACTTAAATGCACTCTTTGCATACAAAGTAGCACTTGATGTTGCGCTCACGCAAGAGGATCTAGAACCCACGTCAATAACACAGTGTACACATCGAACAGATTGGCTAAAATGGAAAGAAGCCATAAACGTGGAGTTAAAGAGTCTCAAACTCAGAAACGTGTTCGGTCCGATCATCCGGACCCCATCACACATCAAGCCAGTGGGCCACAAATGGGTCTTTGTGCGCAAAAGGAACGAACTCGGTGAAGTCGTTCGATACAAAGCACGGCTTGTAGCACAAGGATTCTCACAGAGACCCGGAATCGATTATGAGGAGACTTATTCTCCAGTGGTGGATGCAACAACATTCCGATTCCTCATAAGTCTGGCCATAAGAGAAAATCTTGATCTGCGGTTAATGGATGTTGTAACCGCATATCTCTATGGGCCCCTGGACAACGAAATATATATGAGACTCCCAGATGGCATTGAACTAAAAGACAAAAATGCATCTCGAGATCAATACTGCATCAGGCTGAACAAATCCTTGTATGGACTGAAACAAAGTGGGCGTATGTGGTACAACCGCCTCAGCGATTACCTCATCAAAGAAGGCTACAAAAATGACCCCATCAGTCCATGCATCTTCATCAAGAAGTACTCAAACAAAGGATTTGTAATCATAGCAGTATACGTGGATGATCTAAACATCCTCGGAACATCTGGTGAGATCTCCCAAACAGTCGACTGCTTAAAAGCAGAATTCGAAGTGAAAGACCTAGGCAAAACAAAGTACTGTTTGGGATTACAACTTGAGTACATCAAAGGAGGAATCCTTGTGCATCAATCGGCTTATATCGAAAAGGTACTCAAGCGATTTAATATGGACCAAGCTCACCCATTGACCAGCCCAATGGTAGTTAGAAGCTTAAGTGATGACCCTGTTGGTCCCAAAAAGGATGATGAAGAAATCCTTGGTCCTGAAAAGCCATACTTCAGTGCTGTAGGAGCGTTAATGTACCTGGCTAGTCACACTAGACCAGACATATGTTTCGCCGTGAACCTCCTCGCTCGATATAGTTCATCTCCAACTCAGAGGCACTGGAACGGTATAAAACATCTCCTAAGATACCTTCGAGGTACTCAAGACTTACGACTCTTCTATACTAACCAAAATAAAGATGGGTTAGTCGGCTTCGCCGATGCAGGATATCTATCAGATCCGCACACTGCCAAGTCTCAAACTGGCTACGTTTTTACGCATGGAGGAACAGCCATCTCTTGGAGATCAATGAAGCAGACACTCACTGCCACTTCATCAAACCATGCTGAAATCCTAGCCATTCATGAGGCTAGTAGGGAATGCGTCTGGCTGCGCTCCATGACTCAGCACATCCGCAGAGATTGTGGTATGGACGAAGACACACAGCCCACGGTGATGTATGAAGACAACGCGGCATGCATAGCTCAGCTCAAGGAAGGATATATCAAAGGAGATCGGACGAAGCACATTCTACCGAAGTTCTTCTCAACCTCAGACTGGCAGAAGGACGGCACTCTCAGCGTTCAGCAGGTCCGATCCAGTGAGAATTCAGCTGACCTCTTCACCAAATCATTGCCTACTTCAACACACCGGAAGCTCGTCAAACAGATAGGAATGTATAGACTTAGAGATCTGCAGTGATGCTACAATCAGGGGGAGTAATGCGTATTGTACTCTTTTTCCTTCACCATGGTTTTGTCCCACTGGGTTTTTCCTGGTAAGGTTTTAATGAGGCAACATTCCCCAGCGCATTATCGAGATCCCGATTGAGTAGCTGACCCGGTTCACTCGTCCAAGGGGGAGTGTTATAACACATATCATATATGGACTCTTATACCGGCCCATTAGGTCCATCAGGGCATTGTACTTAATCTAGATTTCCTATGTACTCTATATATACATTCCAGTGATTAATAAAGTTTCTAAGTTTTCACAACAAAATGATTTTACTAGACCTTAATTCTATTTTCGTAAAATAGTAATACGAGTAGCAAGTGAGCTATTTTACCAGAGCCAAATCTGAACTAAATCCAAGTTAATCTTTAGACTTATGAAAATCCAATATTCTAACCTGAGGACTTCTCTAATAAAATTTTATTATTAATGGGATTTCAAACCCTAACCTAGACTTACATAAACCTTTTTACCACGAACACCGTGCTACTGTCATCACTTCTTAAGAGTTGAAAAAAAAAATCACTTCTTGGGTGACATCAATCTTGGTTAATGTTTCCTTATAAATTCTTAATATCACATAAACATCATGTAAAAATAACAAATAATTTCTAGATTTATATCTTCAACAAAGAACAGCGGGCGCTTCTCAAAATCGCTTTCTTTATATTATTTTTTCTTTCTTGATTTCCTTATATTTTGTTTGTTTGTTTGTCTCTCTTATGGACTGTGTAGATCATAATTGGGTGTGGCTCGCAGCTTAAGGCAGTCGCAACAACAACTTTGAGGAGAATGGGCCCGACACGTCCTGAAACCGTACAATCGCCTTCCAACTTGTCTTTAACCGGCAACCGGTTCTTTAACCGGCACATGTTTTGGCTTTTAAAGTTTCAATTATTCTTTCGTAATAGAGAACCCATGGATAAATAAAAATGGTGTTTTGTATTTTTTTTTTGTTTTTTCTTGTTTTGTTTTTTTCGAACATTAAAATGGCGTTTTTTGTAATTGAAGCATCACAACGACGTCCCATATTAATGTCTGTCCATTTCTTTTTTAGTAATAGCAACTCTAATTCTCTAAATGATTTTGGTCATTATCTACCAAATAGATCGATGGTAAAATGGGATTGTAATTATGTTGATTTATGTATCGTGTTTTCTTTATTTAAGAACACAGATTTTTAAAATGATATCATATAAATTAATCTGGACTTCAATTTCAGATTTCTTGGTTTTTAAAAAATAAAACACTCTTTTGGAGTTATACGCTATAAAATCGGAACGGTAACTTTGCAAATGCTAAGTAATTATTACCCTAGAATACCTACCCTTACGAAGTATGAACGAAAAAATTCAACGCATACATAAATTCTGCACCTACTTGAATATATATAACCCGAGAGGCGAGAGTAAGTCAACAATTAACTTTTTATTCTTTTTTGCTAAAACAAAAGTCCACAATGAAATTAATGACTACACGAAAACAAAAGCAAATAAACTAAAGAATTTCAATTTAATACGCCGTGATTCCATTGCTAACAAAGAAAAAGAAATCGCGTTATTAATAAAATTATATTTCAATTTTAAAATAATACGTAAAACAGAGTCTCTCTCTCTATCTCTCTATATAAGTACTCCCTCACAACCACGAACTCCAAAACATCATCTCATAAACCAAAAAACCACAAATCCAATATTTGATTATTTCTCATTACATCACCTCTTTTTGTAACCATGAGTCTTCTTACAGATCTCATTAACCTTGACCTCTCAGACAGCACTGAGAAAATCATCGCTGAATACATATGGTTCGTCTTCTTCCTCTGTTTTTGCCTATTTGTATACATTCTTAACCCTCTGTTTTTGTTTCATTGTAAAGTCATTCTTTAAGCGTTCTTATATCTTCAATCTCAAAAAGAGTTGTGTTTTGTCTTTTTCTAATTTGGGTTTTCTTTGATTTTACAAAATAGGGTTGGTGGCTCTGGAATGGATATGAGAAGCAAAGCCAGGGTAATTATTTTTCTTTACTAAAATCTTCACTTTAATTTGATAAAAAATCGAAAATTTCTCTGAAATATTGACTCATATTTTCTGGTTTATATGAAATTTTCAATTTACATAGATTTGATTACAAGTCTGAGTCCCTGTTCTTTTTTTACCTTGCAGACTCTACCTGGACCAGTGACCGATCCATCAAAACTCCCGAAATGGAATTACGATGGTTCAAGCACTGGCCAAGCTCCTGGTGAAGACAGTGAAGTGATCTTATAGTAAGGCATTTTTAGATTTTTTTCACAAATATTATCACTTTCTTTAAAAACCAATCTCCTTTGTTTCTGTTTTTCTTATTCTTAATCTTTCTTTTCTGTTTGTGTTCCTTAGCCCTCAAGCGATTTTCAAAGATCCGTTCCGTAAAGGCAACAACATTCTTGTGAGTTGGTAAACTGTGGTTTACTTGAACATGTTCTGTTTTAGAAGTTATAACCGTTTTTATCGGTTTGATCAGGTCATGTGTGATGCTTACACTCCTGCGGGTGAACCGATCCCTACGAACAAGAGACATGCTGCAGCTCAGATCTTCAGCAACCCTGCTGTTGTAGCTGAAGTGCCTTGGTTGGTCCAAATTCCCCTGTTTCTTGTTACTCTTTTTTCGGTTTCTTGCGGTCTTAGATTGCTGATTTTGCTCTGTAAATCAGGTACGGGATAGAACAAGAATACACTTTGTTGCAGAAGGATGTGAAGTGGCCTGTTGGATGGCCCATTGGTGGCTTCCCCGGTCCTCAGGTACATTCCGTTTTCACTCTTCCTCGATTCACTGTTCTTGGCAGCGATCTGATGTTTCTATAAACCCATCTCATGCAGGGACCATACTACTGCAGTGTTGGAGCTGACAAATCTTTTGGGAGAGACATTGTTGATTCTCACTATAAGGCCTGCTTGTATGCCGGAATCAACATCAGTGGCATCAATGGAGAAGTCATGCCTGGTCAGGTAATCTTCAAAAAACCAATCTTTAGATCACTTATGAGTGACCCAAAAGTTTCAATCTTTTTGCTAAAAGTTGTAATGATCAAATCATTTTGTTGAGACAGTGGGAGTTTCAAGTCGGCCCATCAGTTGGAATCTCAGCTGCTGATGAAGTGTGGATCGCTCGTTACATTTTGGAGGTATAATTAAAACCATCCACTCTCAATGTTTGATGAAAGTTTAAAAATTATTTACAAGTTTTGGTGGGTTTTAAAAAACAGAGGATCACAGAGATTGCTGGTGTGGTTGTGTCTTTTGACCCAAAACCAATTCCAGGTGATTGGAACGGAGCTGGTGCTCACACCAATTACAGGTAAAAGGATCATGAAACTTGACCTTGTTAAGTAGTTTGATCTCTTAGAAAAAAATCTGAAAAATGGTGAATGCTTTTTCAGTACTAAATCGATGAGAGAAGAAGGAGGATATGAGGTAATCAAGAAGGCAATCGATAAGCTCGGGCTAAGACACAAGGAGCACATTTCAGCTTACGGTGAAGGCAACGAGCGTCGTCTAACCGGACACCATGAAACTGCTGACATCAACACTTTCCTATGGGTAACATTTTGTTATAAATTTCAAAAAGTTGAATCACATTTTTTTTTGTATACTGAATCTTTATGTGTTTTGAATCTTGTTAAAAGGGTGTTGCAAACCGTGGAGCATCGATCCGAGTAGGACGTGATACTGAGAAAGAAGGGAAAGGATACTTTGAGGATAGGAGGCCAGCTTCAAACATGGACCCTTACATCGTTACTTCCATGATTGCAGAGACTACACTCCTTTGGAATCCTTAAAGAAAGATCCAAGAAATCAAAAACCAACTTGGATTTGCTTCCATTGGATTTCAAGTTTCTGATTTTCTTCAGTTTATTAAGCATTTGTACCGGTTGATACTGCCGGGGTTTGTGGTTTGGGGCCTTTCTTTTAATCTCTTTGGGTATTTGGGTTTGTTGTTGGAGCAAGTCAGGATTTGCTCTGTTTCTTTGACCTTTATTTCGTATTTATATTAATAACACGATCTGAAAAGGCCTCTTCATGTTTCAATCTTAAAGACTAATCAACAAGTTCACAAATAACAATCTATATAAATCATATTGTAGCCACTATATAAATACAACCATAGATCATATCTTATTATAAATTTGAAATACATTTGTTTATTCGACAATAGGTGGACATAAATGAAATTCTAAATATTATTATAAATTAGGCATTTAAAAAACATATAATGATAGTTTAAGTCCTTGCAAAAAACTTGAGTTGGCAAGATGTTGAAGCTCTGGAAGAAAGTGACAACTCCTCGATCACGTCAAGTTTTTTCTTTGGATCATGCGATGAGAGTCCCAAGATTGTAGCGGTCTTTAAGCAGCTAGCAATCCTCAAGATATATTTCACTAGATCAATATCTTTCTGCGATCCATTGATCCCTGTCCACTTGAAAGTTTGGAGACTCCACAACAAACATTGAGGAACATTTATTCTCCAAGCACACCCAAGGATTCTCACTAACACCATAATGAATATGTTCCTGGCATCAAACAGAAGAGGTTGGATTAAACCATACACTAACAGTGCATTATAGACTAAAATAACATTAACTATAAAGAAAACCTACATAACTATCGTAGATCTCCAGTTCTTGTAATTTAGGAGAATCTTTGAGCAACCGGACAAGTAAGTTTGACCAGGTTTTTCCACATGAACCTGATCTAGTGAAATATTCAAGCTGATTGAAGACAATACTATCACCATATATAACCTGCAGGAAATGAATATGTAATAAAACAAATTCAACCTTAAGAAAACCAGCTATTGTTCTAAAATTAGATTAATAGAAGGAAACTTATTACCTCGCCGAAGATTGCTAAGCATAATGAAAGCCGCTTGACAGATGTGATTTGCGTGATAAACTTCTTGATAACGTTGTTGTCCTTGTGGATATTGGGGTATATAGAATCGATATAGGTCTCCTCCAGCTTAGGCATATTTCCAATTTCGATAAAAAGGAGGGAATATAATCGTCATTATCAGAATAACCATCACCATTACTATAATAATCTAAAATTTTGAAATACTCCAAAGAAGGGGTGTTTAGCACAAACCCATAAGAATAACAATCGATACTTATCACTAGGGTAAGTCTCCCCAAGGACGAAGAGATTACCCTTAATGCTTGCAGATCATCTTCACATCCTTCCACAACTAGATCCTCAAGAACAGGGCAATTAGATAAAAGCCGTTCAAAACATGGTGGAAAATTGTATGCCAAAGCCACACGTCGAAGGTACAAAGTTTTCAATGAGGGAAGACAAGTAATTCGAGGAACATCCACGAGAATCCTAGCGGCAGAGTTGCATTAGGCTTGACCTCGTAACAATATAAAAAGTAACTAATACTTAGCTCACGCACACAGCGGAAAACAGCATTTGCAACCCAAAATGTTATATCTTCAGGTTAAATTGAGACGTTAGCGCTCTAAGACTGGAGCTCTATGTAAGGACAGATTCATGTCGATAAAACATAGCTTCCTCTGGAATTCCAACAGAACATCAAGCCCACCCCTAGGGAGAAATTTAGGCTTGAATTTTTTGGGAATCAGGATGGGAATTTACGGGTAAGGGATGGGAATTGAATTTCAACAATCTAAATATACTATCCAAAATATTTCCACAAAATAACGGAAGAGAAATTTACGGGTATGTGACAGAAACGGAAAATTCGGGAAACAAAACATACTACCCATACATTCCGAAAGTAAAATGTAATCCGGAAAGGAACGAGAAAGAGTTCGGATAATTCGGCTAATTAGACTAAAATCAAAATTTATTAAAAAAATTATTAATTGTTAATAACTTGGAAAAAAATCAATATTTATTATATAAAAAAATTTCAATTAACCAAAATTTCTAAAATTTCACTTTTTATAACTACCCAACGGGAAGTTCCGGTAATCCCATTCCCGTCCCTACCTGACAAAGTGGTGTATTGCTTTCAATCGATATGTGTTATTCATTCCAAAAGATTACGTTATATAGGTGTGCCTTAGCTTCACCTTCAAGTAATAGATAACATGGAATGAGAATATTTTCTTTATCCTATATTCACTTAGATTCACCTAGATGTTGCCTAATACTCTCCCTCAAGATGGCGAGTGGAGATCGCAAACTCCCATCTTGCGAAGAAGATAAGAGAACTGGACACGTCCGAGTGCTTTGATTAAGAGATCCACCATTTGCTCAGTTGTGCGTACATGAGCCGAAACAAGCACACCAGCTTGAAATACGTCACAAATGATGTGGCTATTGTTCTTTATATGCTTTGTTCTCTCATGAAAAACTGGATTCCGAAGAATGTTGAGTGCAGACTTATTATCACAAAAGAAGGAGTCAGGTTCTGGATGTTTGATATCGAACACTGGAAGAAGCTGAAGAAGCTACTGTATCTCCGAGTATGTAAATGCATAGCACAATATTCAGCCTCGGTAGAAGAGCGAGACACAGTCTCTTGCTTCTTAGTTTTCCAAGCTACAAGCGAGTCTTCCAAGAGAACAACATAACCAGTTAAAGAACGACGCGTAATGGGGCAGGCAGACCAATCAGAGTCGCAATAAGCCTTGACGTGAAGTTTCGGGTTAGAATTAAGAAATATTCCTTGACCAAGAGTCCCTTTGAGATACCGAACAACACGAAGCACGGCGTCCCAATGTTTCTTCCATGGTTTAATTAGAAACTGAGCTAACAAATGGACGGCATAGCTCAAGTCGGGCCGAGTAATGGACAAATACACCAGACGGCCTACCAAACAACGATAGTGAGAAGGATTGTTGAAGAACTCTCCTTCATCATGTGCCAGAGTATGATTCTGCTCGATATGAGTATCATACGACCGAGATCCTGTTAGTCCACACTCGGTGACAATATCTAGAGCGTATTTCATCTAAGAAACATAGATCCCTTCTTTTCCACGCGAAATCTCTAAGCCAAGAAAGTATTTTAAGACACCGAGATCCTTCATATGAAAGCACTTGGTCATATAAGCTTTGAATTTGGTCAATAACGCGGAGTCATTACCACCAATGACAAGGTCATCAACATATACCAAAACATAAACACAAGATGTGCCTCGATGATACGAAAACAGAGAGTAATCCTTCTTGTTTTGAATGAAACCAAACCGAAGTAATGATTTCAAAAGTTTAGCGAACTAACATCTCGAAGCTTGTTTAAGGCCGTAAAGAGATTTCTTTAACCGACATACTTTCTTTGGATCACTTGCAGCAAAACCATGAGAAAGCTTCATGTGCATTTCCTCCTTTAAATCACCGTGAAGAAACGCATTATGAACATCCATTTGATAAAGCTTCCAATTCTTTGCAGCGGCTACCTTTAAGAAGATCCGAATTGTGGTCATCTTTACAACCGGTGCAAAAGTTTCATCATAATATGTTCCCTCTTTCTGTCGATTTCCAAGCACTACCAATCGAGCCTTATATCGCTCTAGTGTACCATCAGAGTTGAGCTTTACTTTAAACACCCATTTGTTACCAATAGCGTGTTTGTCTGGTGGAAGGTCACATATATCCCAAGTGTAATTTTTCTCAAGTGCCACAACTTCATCTTTGGAGGCTAGTCGCCAATGTTCATGCTCCATGGCCTCTTTAAATGACCGAGGTTCAGAGTACGCAGCGACCGCATTCAAAAACATTTGCTGCAGAGAAGAGAGGAGATGAAGAGAAACAGAGTTAGACAAGGGATATAGACACTTACTTGAGGACAAGGTGGTAGAGTGAGGTGCGCGACGAGGGGGTTTATCATTGATCTTTGCAGAATATGTAACAAATTTGTTGAGTCGAACAGATGGTCGCTTGAGGTGATGACCGCGATCCAGTTCTTCAACCTCAAATGAATTCTCTGGATCGATAACTGGTAGAGGTGCAGCCTCAGTAACTGCAGGTATCTCTTCTTCTACAATTGGTGTAGGTGCAAACTGAGGAACTGATTTGATCAGGGCAGTGTCATCATTTGCGTCGCTGATCTCTCCAAGATTCAAATTCGAAGATAACTCCCCCTCAATATCAGTTTGCAAATCCTCTGGATGTACGGGGGATGTCGTATTCGATGGTGCAATGAGAGGTGAGTCAGTAGAAGAAAACCCAATCATATCCATTAAAGGAGGAACAGGTAGCATGGGAAGACATTTTCATGGAAGTGAACATCACGAGAGACGAATAATTTCTCTGTTTTGAGTAAAGACTAGCCATCCTTTTTTGCCAAAAAGGTATCCGAGAAACAAACAGCGAGAGCTTGTATCTTCAAACTTATCACCGGCACGAGGTGTGCGTGTAACATAGCACAAGCAGCCAAATGTGCGAATATCAGCGTATGTTGGAGGTTGTTGAAAGACGAGCTTATAAGGTGTTTTTCCCTGGAGGAGTGTGGAAGGTGTGCGATTGATGAGAAAAACAGAAGCCTGTATACTTTCTCCCCAAAAACGTGTTGGAAGATGAGCCTAAAATAGTAAAGCTCGAACGACATTTAGGATATGCCTATGTTTCCTCTCAACACGGCTATTCTGCTGCGGCGTGTAAACACACGATGTTTGATGAGAGATGCCTTTTTCCGAGAAGTAGCTACGCAAGGGAAGAAATTCTGTGTCATTGTCCGTACGTACAGTGTGTACTTGTTTTCCAAACTGACGTTTAACCCAAACTATGAAATTTTCAGAACTGTCGCAACAAATTATTTTTCAAGAAGAAGGTGTGTCCATACGGCCCATGAGAAATCGTCAACAATAGTGAGAAAGTATGTAGAACCACTGGTTGATTTGGTTCGATATGGACCCCAAACGTCATATTGAATCAAACTAAATAAATCATCAGCTTTATTAGAAATTTCTTAAAAAGAAACACGAGATTGTTTTGCGCAAAAGCACACATCACAACACTTCTCTAAATCACTAATACTACTACTAAAAACTCCAACATCTGAAAGAAAGGAAAGAACTTTCGAAGATGGATGACCCATTCTTCTATGCCATAATTCTCGGTTATTTAGCTTAGCAATCCGACTGACTTGAGGAAGAACTGCTCCAGCCAAATGATAAACCCCATCACATGCCTCACCCGCTCCAATCAAAGTCCTTGAAGCAAGGTCTAATATCAAGCAAAACTCACGGGTAAATGTCACGGAACCAGCAATCTCGCGAAGTAACTGAGCAACATAGATAAGTGTAGTATGTAAATCAGGTGCATAGAACACGTTATGGAGAATCAATTTTCCACCAAGATTCAAGGTGCTATGTTTAGTAGCCCATGTAAATCCACCATTTGGCAACTTGATGGGACACGCATCAATGTTCTAGAGATTAGTTAACAAGTTAACTTCACCGGTCATATGATGACTTGCACCGGAATCGATGATTAAGTCAAATGGACTTTTAGTACCAAACAAAATGAGTTGTTCAGTCTTACCAGAGAGCTTCTCATTACCCGAGTTCTTCTTACTCTCTAAGAAACTCGCCAGATTGCTCCATTGAGCAGGTGTAAGAGACGAAATCCCTGTTTGTGCATCAATAGATGTAGTGGTGGCATTAGCTTGAGAAGCAGAAGATGAGGAGGAGGAACCTCGACCTCGTCCACGTCCACAAGAAGAGCTCCGACCTCGACCGTTGTTGCTTTGGGGTGTTGCTAACTGTTCGGGCCACCAGTCCGGATACCCGACGATCTTAAAGCATTGTTGCTTTTCATGGCGACACGACCACAATGAGTGCAAAGGAGAGACTGCGAAACAACTGCAGCTGATGCAGAGAAACCAACGTTGGGGATTTGTTCTTGTGCGCTTCGAGTAGCGTTTAAATTGCGTTCCTCTTGTATGATCTGCGAGTACACTTGGTCCAAGTTGAGCCCTGTTAGACGCGCAAGCAGATTAGAACGGGTTGTTCTAAATTGCTGACTATCGAGTCCCATCAAGAACTGGTGTATACGAACTCCATCTCGCTTCTTGTTGTACTCCACCATTGACGCACAACTTGTCTTTTTACAGCAACAGGTGAAGCCTTTGTCGAGATTTGCCAAAGCATCCCAAAGAACCATCAACTTGCCATAGTAATCTTCTACGGTTTGCCCATCCTGTTTGCACTTCTGAATATCTTCATGAAGTTGATGTTCTCGTGTTCCATCACTCACCGAGAACCAATTTTTGATACTTGCCCACATCACCGAGACGTCGTCGACAAGTGAAATCACGGAGTGGAGTTGTGGTTCCACGCTTGCGTAGAGCCAACCGATCATCATGGAGTTAACCATGTCCCATCGTTCAACACCATCTGTGCCGTTTTCCGGTCGTTTTAAGGTTCCGTCAAGAAACCCTAATTTTCTCTTTGTGCGGAGAACATTGACCATGAGCTTCGACCATTGCTCGTAGTTTGCTCCATCCAAAAGTATTGGTGTTAATACTTGGTCGCTGTGTTCACCTTGTTGAATGGTGTAAGGAGACATCAATGGTTGGTCCTTTTAATTGTCACCACTGCCAGCCATCGTTCGTTGAGGTTACGGTGGAATTTGTTTTTTTTTTTTTTTTTTTTTTGAGAGCAATTAACACAGACCAAAGCACTACAAGAAAAAAAAATCATTTTACAACGGCCAAAATGGTCGTTATTTCGTCGTAATAGGGCTATTACGACAGACTACCGACGATTTCAAAATCGTCGTAAACTCATCGTCGTAATAGACAAATCGTCGTAACATCGTCGTATAATATACGACGGTTTCGTTTCATCGTAACATCGTCGTATAATATACGACAGTTTCGTTTCGTCGTAACATCGAGGAAAAAAGATCGTCGTAAATGCGTCGTACAGTTTACGACGATTTTACATCGAATTGCGTCGATTTGGTCTTCGCCTGGAACCGTCATTAAATGGTCGTTAAAAATCGACGTAAGATCGTCGTAAAATATACGACGCAAAAATCGTCGTCAATCAATCGTAAATTATTTTATCATTCCATCGTAAAATCGTCGTAAAACACGGACGTATAATCGTCGTATTTGTCGTCGTACATTTTGGTTGTAACGTCGTCGTACTATTTACGACGAATATACGACGGTTTTATAAAATAATAATAATTATATTACGACGATTTTACGACGTTTAATATAATTGAAAATAAAAAAAAATTTAATTCGAATTAAAATTTAAATTAAAAAAAATTAATTTACAATTTAAAATTTAATTAAATTTCAAATTAAAATTAATTTTAGTATTTACAAAAAAATCTTACAGCTCTAAATCTAAATCTACATCAATGTCGTCGATCCCGTCACCGGCCTGCTCCCCATCGTCCTCGACGTGTTCTTTGCTGGGTCTTCGGTTAGAGGCTTCCGGCGCCTGATCTCCAGTTCTAGGAGGATCAACCCCGAGAGACCGGAACATCTCCTCGTCCGTCTGCACCGGTGGTTGCCTCCTAGAAGATGACCCGGCAGACGATCCGACAACCCCATCGGCCCGCAACCTGTCCAATTGCGCCATGAGCACCGGGTTGTCGGCTCCCATGATCTCGAAGAGACCATACAGCTGGTCGATCTTCGTCTCGTAGTGGGTCCGCATTTTGTCAATCTCCTGGCGGATAACCGGATCCGAGGCCCGGACATGACCTGTCGCCGTAGCTCTCGGGGTATCACAGATGGATCTCATCCCTAATACCCACCCCTTTTTCTTTGGGGCAACCTAAAAATATTTAAAAACATTTAAAAACATTATGGTTAGAAATTCAATTTCAAAATTAAAATTACATTAATTAAATATATTAATTGAATTTACCTCTTCGAAAATCTGGTCCATCTCCGCCACCGTCAGCGCCGGGGTCGATTGGACCGAGCTACCTCCGGGAGACGGTGGACGCGCCTGCTGAGTCAGTTGCGTCTGCCGCTCCTCGATCG